GGTTCCGAGGGGAAAGAGAAGGGAAAGGGGAAGGAGAAAGGGAAAGGGAAAGGAGAAGGAGAAAGAAAAAGATAAAAGAAAAAAATTTTAAATTTTATTTTTCATAATATTTTTTATAGGCAGAACCCTCAAATCACCCCCTGACAAATATGGGTAGGGACGGATCCACCCCTCAAAAAAAAGCAGGGACAAATGACACCCCAAAAGTATCGATTTTCCCAAATTGATCATTATCTAACAGGCGACGTCATCACCGTCACGATCTTCGTTTAACCTGTGCCAACGTGTCATTTTTTCACACGCTGGATGCTGATGTGTACTTATGAAAAGATCTTAGGTTTCGTAATACAACCAGAAACAGAATCTATACTACCCACCTGGGTTCTTCCTCCATTTCAATTTTCTTCCATTTTTTTTCCCTCTTGATGTCTCTGTCTCTGAGGCCCCACCACCAAGCAACAGTTCTCAGTCTTCCCTCATTAAATAAATCATGCCCACTTCACGTTTCCGATTGTGTTATTTTTAATTAAAGTTTTTTCAATTGGGACAAATAAAGTTCTAATCTTTGTCTGTGTTCGCCGGCGTCTTTTTTTTTTTAAGTCATTTTTATTGGGTATATGCTCACCGGTGACAGTGGCCAGGCAATGCTTGACGCCGGAGGCAGCCAACGCACTTGACGAGGCAGTTGGGGTAGCTCGTCGGAGGGGTCATGCCCAGACCACCTCACTTCACGCGGTGTTAGCGCTCTTGTCGCTCTCTTCTTCCCCTTTGCGTGAGGCCTGCGTGCCGGCTCGGAACGCTGCGCACTCCCCGCGCCTTCAGTTCAAGGCATTGGACCTGTGCCTGAGCGTATCGCTGGACCGCGTGCCGTCGAGTCAGCAGGTCGGGCATGAACCACCCGTGTCGAACCCGCTCATGGCGGCAATAAAACGGTCCCAAGCCAACCAGCGGAGGCAGCCCAAGAATTTCCATCTGTATCGCGATATCTCGCAGCAGAACCTGTCCAATATCTCGTGCATCAAAGTCGAAGCGAGTTTCTGGAGCTCCGAAATCAAGCTCGCCATTATCCGGCCGCTCCCCAATCTCCTCAGATACCCTCGACCACGCGGTCCTCCTGTCTTCCTCTGTAATTTGGAGAATTCGAATCCAGACAACGACCGGGGCCCTCGTCGGAGTTTCAGCTTCCCGTTTCCGAGCTTTGCCGCCTTTTTCGACGGAGAAGAAAACTGTAGAAGGATTGGCGAGGTGTTAGCGCGGAGGAGGAATCCCTTGCTTGTGGGCATCTGTGCTCGTGATACGCTCACGAGCTTCATAGATAGCGTGGAGAAGAAAAAGGATGGTATTTTGGCTAAGGAGATTTCTGGTTCAAACGTAATCGGCATTGACAGTGATGTTTCGAGGTTTATTAATGGGGATGTTTCGATCAGGTCCAGCTCCAGAATTAGAGGAAGATTCCATGCGAATAAACTCACAAACACCCACAATCTTTTTCCCTCGACTAATTTCAGGAAGGAATTGCAGAAATGAGAGAAAGCCTTGTGGTTGTGTGGTTTTGAAGGTTTTGTGGTTTTGAATTGAAGAGAACCCTAACCCCCAACTTTGAAAATTCTGAACTAAGGGTGCGCAAATGACACGGTGTGTGAAAAAGAGCGGAATTGGTACACATCAGCATCCAGCGTGTGAGAAAATGACACGCTGGCACAGGTTAAACGGAGATCATGACGATGATGACGTCGCCTGTTAGATAATGATCAATTTGGGAAAATCGATACTTTTGGGGTGTCATTTGTCCCTGCTTTTTTTTGAGGGGTGGATCCGTCCCTACCCATATTTGTCAGGGGGCGATTTGAGGGTTCTGCCTTTTTTATATTATTATTTTTTCCACATCATTACTTTTTGACTATATTATCTTCCACGTGGATTACTATATGACATGTCATCGTGTTCTCGTTTGTTAACAGTACACGTCACTAGATTTTTAACGGAAGGACCAAATCGAGGTAAAAATGGTAAACAGTAGGGACCAAATCAGGGATTTTTTTAGTTCAGGGACCAAATCGGGGGTCCGTACAATAGTTCAGGGACCAAAAAGGGATTTTAACCTAAAAAAATTTGGCCTTTTGATGTTATAAGCTTCACTTTTAAGTTTTACCTATAGTGTTTTCCTTGTCCTTGCATCTTATCTGTTTGGAGTCTTGTTGCTTAAGGATCTAGTGGAAGTAAATTAAACTCGTCACCTTTTTCGAAGTGCTTTCAATCCTTCTTATATTGCTTCTAGTTATAATTCCTATTTTGTTTGTTTTTGTTTAGGATCAAGACCTCCAGAAGAGGAGAGCCTTGTTCCTTAAACAGAGAAACAAAAGCGGGGAGTTCTTCTAATTAGGAAGCAAATGACGTCATTCTGAGTGAGGCTGAAGACGAGAAGCCTCCTGAGGTGGACTTTCTTCCAGCATCAGAAAGGCAAAAATGAATTGCGTAGTTGCAAGCAAAACTTTTTCCAAGCAACTACAAAAGAAGCAGTGCGGGGCAAGAAGAAAAGGGGCACGCTTAGAGAAGAAGACTTCACCTTACTGCAGGCGTTGGGAAAGGCAGATTTTTGGCTTATGTTCATCTCCCTTGTATTGGCTGCTGGATTTCATCTGACAGTGATTAACAATATGGGTAAGATTTCTGAGTCTCTAGGATTCAGCAGTAGAAGTATATTTGTCTTAATAGTCAGGATTTTTAACTTTCTTGGCCGTGTTGGTGGTGGCTATTTCTCTGACATTGTCATCAGGTAAAGATTATTCTACATCCAAGATGCCATCTATGGTAATTTTCCTCTAGTTGATCCTTGTTTCCATTTTTGTTGTTTTGCTAGGAACTATGCCTGGCCATGATCAGTAACTATGGTTTTGGTTCAGGTTATAATGGCAATTGGATTTCTCTACTATGCCATTGGTCGCCCTGGGCAAATATATGTTTTGACTCTGTTCGTAGGACTTGGATATGGTGGTCATTGGGCTATTGTGAGACATTTGAATTGAGGAGCTTTGGTGCATTGTGTAATTTTCCTACGCTATCAATGCCTATTGGTTCTCTAATATTTTCTGGTATTATTGCTAGTGGCATATATGACTATTATGAGAGAAACAAGGTAACTTCCAACAAAGGCTAAGTATGCATCTACAGGATGATGATTCAGTTAGTTCTAAGGTCCTATATGCTCCTTTATCACTTACACAATCTTATCAGGACTCTGCCTTGTTGTAGTGGTGTGGAGCATGACTGTTGTTTATCGTACCAGAAGTGTGTATTGCCAGCTTTATGGAAAGCCTCAAAGTTGAGTTGTTAGAGAGGGTCAATGGCGAGGAGATGGTCTTTCATTTGCATTGCTGAGGAGGATTTATTGATTTTCACCATCATTGTGTGATGTAATTCCAAGCGGAAAAAATGACGACTGGACATCAACTTGTAGGAAATGAGGAGGAGCAAGCCAAGGGAGGAAGTTAGATTATGTTGAAAACAAGCCCTGCAGTTTTCATTGTTAGTACAGATTTGATCCTTCTTCTAAACCAAAAAATGCTCTTCATGAATAGAAATTAAATATCGTTCTTCAATTCACCAACAATGGGATGCATGAGAGATGTTCAGCAGAAAGCTGAAGACTTGAAGTTCCAAATAGCTTCACTAATGACCAGAAAAAAAGAAAAGAAAAAAGCTACACTAGTATAAGCTCAAACAACTGAAATTCCCTGTAGACTTTGCTAATCATGTCTAATTGCAATATAGTGCTCTTCAGGACGGATAATCCTTTTTGTTTCCTCAGCTAGGGAAGAGTTGAGGTTTGCAACTTGCCAATGAAGAACTTCTGCAAGAAAGATAATAATTTCCATCTAAGTAAAATAATAAATAAAAAGTGATTCACTTGTAATAATGTGTCAAATTATCATTAATTGATTTTTTTTTTTTTTTAATCATTTTGGCAAGGGACGGGTTTTGAACCCGTCCAGGGGAGGGGGCAGTGCACCATCAACCTGGCTAATGCCAGTGGACCTAGAGGCCCAAGTGCTATCATTAATTGATTGTATAAGTAATATATCAAAAATATTATTAACCCAAGAGCTGCAAGGAAGAAAACTATTCCTGGAGAAAAAGCATCAGATTAAAGTACAAATTAATCAAGAAAGTTAGAATTGAAGAAAAAAATATATTTATTTCATTATTCTTAGTAAAAAAAAAAAACATTATTTTTTATGGGTGATACTATAAGGATAATTTTTTTATATCAAATTTTGATACAATTTTCAGTTGTCATTAAATAAGAGGGTGCATTCAATATCACAAATTTCACGTGAATAAAAAGAATTAATTATTTAAATGACATGTTCAATTATACTAAAAAATAATATAAAAAGATTGTACCAAAAAATAATATAAAAATATGATCTCAAAATCATTTTCTATCTCTTTATATCAGTCGAAAACAAACAAACGGTATATTTGTTTTTCGCCATATTAAACTAATGTATGTTAAAGAGGCAAGTCTATAAAGATCCAAAAAAAAGAAAAAAACGCAGGTATGTGATAATTAAATAAAAACCATTTTCAAAATAAAAAAATTAAAATATATAATGAAAATATTATAGTTATAATATTATATAATGTTGTCAATTTATAATATAATATTTTCTTTTATAAGTATCTCTTTTTATTTAACAGTTTATTTGTAATATTATATATTTACTTACTTAATAATATATTATATTTATTTAATATTATGGTATATTATAAATTTACAATTCTTTTGTAATATTGCAATTAAAATATTATAAAACATATAATATAAAAAATGAAATTAGATACCTAAGACAAATAATTTACTTAAATGTTGGCATCCTCCAATCTTAATTTACCACATTTAGAGAAATGGCAATGCTTCCAATAGTTTTAACCAGAGTTAAAAGTTAACCATGATTAGGTTTTTACTTTTGGTTGGTTAATAAATGTACTTTAAAAGTTGAAAACCTTTTCCTGTTTTGATAGTATTTAAAAAATAATAATACATATATTTTTTTTTCCTTTGGGTTTGGGTAAATCCCTTCATACTGTTCTATTTTTTCTTCAAAATACAAGTTGTTTATTTTCTGAGATATGATCGCCCCGGGAAAAAGACGGCACAATCAAAATTCAGTCGGAGACTGATCGCCGGCCTACCGGCGATTCAACCGTCTGTAAATAGGTACATTCCCTGTCTCTCTTATTTTATGTATATGTGCAGTATCACTCTTTTTATTTTTTTGGTTTTTTGCATGTAATTTTTTGTTGTGCATTGTGTGTTTGATGGTGAACTGATGATGGAGATTATGATGGAGATTGTTTTAGGTTTTAGTCAATTTGGATTACCCGGAATTGGTGGTGAAAATTATGCCATTGCTTGAATTTTTCTGCATGTTAAGTTGTTAGTTAAGGCAAATTCAACTGAATCCGTTAACTGGGTTTATCCCTTATTTTTTGTTTTCTTTTTTTTCCTTTATCCTTGCGCTCTTTTAGTGTTTCAGTTGTTATCCAATGTCGTTTGTTAGGGATTCTCGGCTTCTGTTGCTATTAAGTGTACGTCAACCGAAATTGTAGTTCAAGGAAGTGAAATGAATTGTGATCTTGTTTGGTTCCTGAGAAAATGTGGGAAGAATGGAATGAGAAAAAAGAAGAAAAAAAAAATTTGGGACTTTAGTCATTTGACATGTCAGTTGTGAGATTTTAAGTTCCTGTTATTCTTTTGCTTTGATATTTCAGCAACCAGTATCTTTCCATTACATCTTGTGCATTTTGTTATTCTCAAATCTGTTATGCTTATTTTGGAAGTTTGGTGCTCAAGTTTGTTGATTCTGAACTAGTGCTTTTCCCGCGTACTTCACAAGCAGATAATGGTTTATCCGGTAAAAAGATCAACCATTTTTAGAATCAATGAATATCAATAGGCATCAGTTGCTTCTGTTGTCTCGTGCATACATGTGTTAGTTTATATTTATTGTTTACCTTTCTAGTTGATGTAAGCATGGCATCCTTATTTCTTCCTTTCATTCTGAAGAGGTTTCCATGTAGGCCAACGCATCTTGTCCCTACAATGTTTTACCACTTCTGCATCCCATCTAACGTGGCATATTACTGTCGGTCTACCACCCATTCCAATTCTGTTAATTGTTGAAAAGATTGTCTGGTGAAATTAAACTTGGTAAGAAAGATTTAGAAAGCTTATAGAACTACTACTTTATGCTGGGTTAATTGTCATTGTATATAAGTTCTTGCACACATGATTGTGGTGCCTAATTGATGCACATGGAAATCAGTTTCTGAATTTGATTTTAACATGGAAATCTTTGTTGATATCACATTCACTTAACCTTATAGGAATTAACCAAAGAAAAAAAATAGCATGCAGTTGGAGGCACAGATTTACTAGCAAGGGAAAAATGGATTGTAATAAAGATGAAGCCATCAGAGCCAAAGAGCTCGCTGAGAAAAAACTTTCAGAGATGGATATTCGTGGGGCCAAAAAATTTGCTGTGAGGGCCCAGAACTTGTGTCCTAGACTTGATGGTCTTGCTCAGTTGCTTGCAACCCTTGATGTATATGTTTCTTCGGAGAAGAGGATAAATGGTGAAGTGGACTGGTATGGGGTTCTTGGTGTTCAACCATTTGCTGACGATGACACAATTCGGAAAAATTATAGGAAACTGGCTCTCGTTCTTCATCCAGATAAAAACAAATCAGTAGGAGCTGATGGTGCTTTCAAAACTTTGTCTGAGGCATGGAGTGTGTTATCTGATAAAACCAAGAGAATGTCTTATGACCAGAAACAGAACTTCAAGGGTATATATGCTGATGTTTTTAATGGGAATCCATCCTCATCAATGCCTACCAACTGGACCAATAATAATACTTTCAATACCAGGAATCATCAATGTGCTACTCATCCTTATCCTGCTGCTCCTTCTAGTCAAGTGAAAAATGACACTTTTTGGACAACCTGCAGTTCATGTAAAGTGCAATTTGAGTACCTCAGGAACTATCTCAATCACAGCCTTCATTGCATCCACTGTCATAAGCCCTTTATGGCTGTTGAGACACCACCTCTGTCAATAAACAGCAGCAATGGTTCTACTCAACGGACTTCCAACAACCTGCGACAGAATACCAGTCAAATGCATAATATGAGGCCAACTAGATTTTCTGGTATTCAGTCATTAGTTAGAGTTCCTCAATCAGGTGCTTTCTCTAAATTGGGTGGTAACATAGGTGTGAGTGCCCCATCTTTCTTTACTGCTCAAGCTACAGATGACAGCAAGCCAGCATTTGAGCAGTTAAAGAGAGGAAATGAAGAGGCACATACAGCTGGCCTGAGAGTCAATGAACTTGGGATCAAGTTTCATGATTCTCAAAGGAGAGCTGCTGTTTTAGATATTGCTTCTTCTGGTGCTGGTTCTGGTTCTACAATTAAAGCACAGAGGCCTAAGAAAAGAAGATGCATCAGTGACCATGAGTGGAGGTGGTATGAAAGACTTGTGAAAAATCAAGTTGTATTGGGGAATGGGGTTGGTGTTCCTAAAGCTCAAAATAGTAGTTCTGAACCAATAAGAGCAAATTTTCCCAGAAATTTTAGATTTAGTAGTACAAGGGAGCTGTCGCTGCTAGAAATTCGAAATATGTTGATGATGAAGGCTAAGACAGAGATCCTTAGGAAGCTCAATGACTGGGACACTGCATCCAAACCCAATGCTTTACATGAATCAAATATTGTAGAAAAGGAGATCAGTGAGAAGCAACAAGGAAGTGGGGCAGATGCAGAAAATGGTGGGAATGAAGACACAAATAAATCAGCAGACATTATGGATGTTAAGACTAGAATTCATCCTAAAAAGTTATCCTCTGCTGTATCTGATGCTGACAGTACCACTGAGGATGTTGACCCTATCATGGAGGAAGCTGATCTGATGTCAATGAGTGTGCCAGATCCTGATTTTCATGATTTTGACAACGATCGAACTGAGAAATCATTTGGCGATAACCAGGTTTGGGCTGCATATGATAATGATGATGGCATGCCACGTTATTATGCAATGATTCACAGTGTCATGTCATTGAAACCATTCAAGATGCGGATAAGCTGGCTTAATTCAAAAAGTAATCATGAATTGAGCCCACTGAACTGGATTGGCTCTGGCTTCTACAAAACTAGTGGGGATTTTTGGATTGGCAAGTATGTAATTAACAAGTTGCTTAATTCTTTCTCCCACAAGGTTAAATGGTCAAAAGGCAGAAAGGGGGCTATTCAAATATATCCTCGTAAGGGAGATGTTTGGGCCCTATATAGGAACTGGTCCCCTGATTGGAACGAGCTTACCCCTGATGAAGTGATTCACAATTATGATATGGTGGAGGTGCTTGAAGATTACAATGAGCAAAGTGGTGCTGTTGTTGTTGGTCCACTGGTAAAAGTAGCTGGATTCAAAACAGTGTTTCGGCAACACCCAGAGCCAAGTATGACCAGGATCATTCCCAGAGAACAGTTGTTTCAGCTGTCTCATCAGGTCCCTTCTTATTTGCTCACAAGTCAAGAAGGTCCTAACGCTCCCAAGGGTTGCTTGGAGCTTGATCCTGCAGCTATGCCATTAGAACTTCTGAAGGTATTAACTGAAGCTCAGGTGAAAGAAATGGAGGTCACCACCAACTTGGAAATATCAGAGGAGAGAGAGCAGGTAGAAATTGGAAAGCCGTTGAAGTTGAAACCAGATATTATTCCTGAAAGTATTGGAAAACCAGTTGGGACAGAAGTGGAGGAGAGAAAGGAAATAAAAATGCCCCAGATGATTGTGTACAGACGTAGACGAAAAAGGGAGTGGAAAATCTCGAGGAATGCTTTGAACTATGATGTTTCAAAGTAATTTCTGTATGTTTCATCCTCTTTGCAGGCAAAAGAAATTGGCCAAATTTTGTTTTATTTTCTGGTGGCAGGATGCTCTCAGGATATAATAACCTGAAGAACATGTTCAAGGAACGTAACCTTGGATTTTTCCCCCTTGGAATATAAACTTCCAAAATGGTCTGTTTTTTTGCACCATCCGGTCAATTTTTGTTTGTCCTGAAGCAACATTCTATTTTGTTGTACACCAAATTTTTATTTAGAAAGAGGAGGAATATCTTTAATATCTCTGTTGCGAATATCCTTTCTTGATCAAATATATAAATCTTCCATTTCAGGTTTTTTGGCCCAACATCTTCTGTTTAAGTTATTAGTTCTTTGCTTGATGGAATATGTATCTTGTAAGTTAATGCTGTATTTTCCCAACCCTTGTCATCAACCATATTTAGCATCTTTCCTGTTATTCGGCTTTTCTGTTATTAATTTTTTTTTTTTTTTGGCCCAGTGGAGCATGAATAATTAGCCCTTTTTTGATATATTATTATTTACCCCGGGGCAGAGATTTAAATACCCAACTTTAATTCTAAAACAACGTTTTTATAATTATTGAATATGTATCAAATCAGCTGAGCGTGATAGGATTTTCTTTTATTATCGAGAAAAGTCAAGGAAACTGGCAAAATACCAAGGGAAGATATGTAGACTGAATAAACAGATCGGTTGAGCTATATGCTCATCCAGAAAATCAATGAGAAAATCAAAACCATC